TCACACCATCAGAATATTTAAACGTTATCATTGGCCCCAATGGCTCAGGTAAATCCACACTTGTATCAGCGATAGTGTTGTGTTTGGGTGGTGAGCCCAAATTGCTGGCGCGTTCAAATTTGATCAGGGATTATGTTAAAAACGGTTGTTCATCGGCTAAAATATCTGTAGAAGTTTGCGCCGAACGAAAGAATAGGGGAAGCCTTTGTGATGAAAAATCGGTGGACTTCACACGCACTTTTGACAAAAGCGATAAATCAGAGTATTTTATTAACGGTCGTTCCTATTCACGTCGCAGCTATCTAGAGGCGATATCAAAATTTAACATCCAAGTAAACAATCTATGCCAATTTTTACCACAGGATCGTGTTCAGGTAATAGAAACACCTATAATATAAATGTTTCTGCATTTTTTTTATTATTTAATGAAAAATTGTATATATCGGCAGGATTTCGCTAAAATGAATCCTCAGGAAATTCTTTCGAATACAATCAGCTCGGTTTGTAATGTTGAAATATTGGAAAACTTTGAGAAATTAAAGGAATTGCAAAACAATCAGGAAAATAACCAAAGCACTCATCAGAAATTAGTACAAAAACTTGCGGAAAGTAAAAATCAAATTAACGAGTAAGAATAATTATTACAGAACCGCCATGTTATGTGTATATAATTATAAAAATACTCATTTTCAGGCTAAAGGGCGAATTAAATCGGTTTAATGTTCGTCAAGAAACTGAAGACAAACTAATTGCTTGCAATATTAAAAAGGTTATGAGTTGTCTGCAAATCTTGCAGAATGTACTAAAGATTGTCAATTGGCTGAAAAGCTATTAGCAAATTTTGATAAGGAAAACACGGGAATATATGCAAAACAAACGGAATTTAAGAATCTTGCTACTCAACTAAGGTTACAAAAAGAACAAAAGGTAAGATCAGCTATGTATTCGAGATTTGTATTAGCGTTGTATTTAGCGCTAATTATTTTTACTAGTTCAAATAGAAGTTCGGTATACTTTGATTTAGATTGAGAACTACTAACGAATGGACTTTAATTGTACGTTCTTCTGGCCTTCTTTTCGCAGTTTTGTAAGTTATGATTATGGTTAGCACTTTTAAATACAAGATGTTTTGGTATATACTTTCTCACCACCAATATCGGGGGGCGTGTGAGATGCTTTGTAGACTTTACTTTTTTCTAACCTTCTTCTTACTGAACGTCTTTTCATTAAAATATAGAAAGTGAATAAAATAAGTCTCTCGAGAAATAGTTCTGTTTAAGATCGAATATAATCGTTTTTATATTTCACATGTTAATTAAATATTAATATCTTACCCTGGTTATATGTGATGACAAAATATTTGCAATTTTCTTCTTTTTTATCAATCAGGAACAAGATTTCAAACAAGCTGAGACTAATAAAGTAAAAATCCTTGAGAAAATCGAACATATAAAGGCAACGATAAATAATAAAAAGATTGATTTTCGGGTGAGTTATTAAGTTGAGACATATTTACATATAATCTAATTAGAGGCATTTTTAAACCATAGAAACGCAAATGCGAGCAAGCTGAACGGGAAAAAGATTTACAAAATGCTGTACAATTATTAGAAGTTTATGTGCAAGATTTGGAAAATTTAAAAGCTGAATGCTCATCCGACTCTGAGTTAACAAATGCCTGTAATCAGAGCATGGAATGTCAAAAGGTCGAGCTCAAGCGTTTAAATCAAAATCATACCCGTCTTAATCAAAGGTTGGAGGAATTTAAACCGGAAATAGGTAGTCTAAAGAAACAAATTGAAAGTTTGGAAAATGTGGGCGATCAGAAGCTATTGGTATGTATTGAACGGATTATTTATTCATTTGAATGAAAGGAACGAAAACTATGACGATTTTACGATAAATCTGAAATATCGGCAGGCAACTTATAAAAGTTAAACGAAATCTGTGTTATTATTATAGTTTATTTAAATCAAAAAAGATAAATCCAGGACTAGAAAAGTAGGAGGAGGACTAGCAACCAAGACTATCGGCTCTCCTTATTTTTTAAAAGGTAGACTAGATAGTTTGTCTACTCCGTTTAATAAAGTAAAATATTTTATTGATATTATGTTCCCCGGGTACTTTCGAGATGTCTATAGGGTTAGACGATGCGAAAACGAGTCTTCGAATATTGCAAGGTTCCGGCATTCACAAAGTATATGTGCAATCGTAAGATTTTGTCCACAATTGCAAATTGGGTTGCAATAGTCTGCAAGGATATTGATTTTCGTGAAGTTGAAGATGAAGCTCTCTCAGTGTGCTATCCATACTTGAAGGTGCAGAAGCTGCTGATTTGGCTGCAAGGTCAGCTCCCTCATTCCCAAGAGATCAATATGACCCGGTATCCGATATTTTAATTTTGTCTCAGTAAATGGCAATGGTATCGCTTGCCTTGTTAGCGACACTTCAGTTGAAGTTTATAAGCTTGCGAATAGGTTTTATGACTGGCAAACTGTCTGTGATGACAACCATCTTACATTTACTTTTACGAGCAAAAATTGTAGGGTGAGAATAATACTAACTTGGATTGTAAATGTAAACGCAGTCTCCTCCAGGATATGACTAACCTGGACTTTTATATTTACTACTGCATACGCAGGAGCCTAGTCATCACTTCTAGAACGGTCTATAAAACGAAGAAGAAGATGCCAACCATTAATTCTTGACGGATATTGTTTTTTTTATGTTGAGACTGAAATATAAAACTCGTATTCATCGTAAGCATGTTTAAGTAGTTGTTTTTTATTTAAGATTATTTAAATTTTTAAGTTATTTTCGACAGGTTTGTAGAGAGATCTCGGCTGTATTTAAATTTGACAAACAATGTTAGTTTCATCTTTTTCTTTCGAATATTTATGTCGACAACAACAATATATACATAACATAATATATATAACATAATATATATAACAATAGCTAATTAACTGATATTTAAAGTGACATTAGCACAATATATACCTTGTATTTCCAAGGATTACAAATACTTGTTTGTTTATTCTTTTATATATATTTTTTCTTATTTTATTAGACTTGTTTTACTGAAGATAAACGCGAAAATAATTTTTGAATGTAATTTTGCAGTTTTTACAACGAAATTTTCCCGACGTATGCAAAGCCATGAAATGGATAGAAGAGAACGAGAATTTATTTGAAGCACGCGTTTATAAACCTATTATGCTTGAGGTAGTACAGAAGATGTCCGTTTGGAACAGATTGGAAGCAATCTCCTTATATTCGCTTTTTCATCTTACAGATAAACGTCCGCAACCCTGATCACACCAAATACTTGGAAAATACAATAATGTTCCGTGACTTCCAGGCCTTCTCTTGTGAGAGCAAAAATGATATGAGTCTTTTAATTAGTGAGCTATGTGTTAAAAGGAAATTAACTGTAAATATAGGTCACGCTCCACCGGATTCAAAATTTTTACCTGTTATTCCTATGAAAAATCTTCGGTATTTGATTTTAATTCAATATGTTTTCATAAAGTTTATCGCAATTTTTTTTTTATGACAGCCCATACGGCTTCGATGCTTATATGATCGACTTGATAGATGGGCCCCATGCAGTTTTAGGTTACTTATGTTCTTTATACAGATTGCACAACATTCCAATCGGTGGTAATGAAGTTAAAGAGTTTATCGAGCAAATTCCTGAGCCAATTACCGTTTATTTTGGTGGTACGCTTAAATATATATTTTTCATTAAAATTACTTTTCCTTCATAAATTCTTACCTGTAAATGTGTTTCAGCCAATGTACGTTACAACGTGAGCATTTCCAAGTATAGTGG